TTATTATTATTATTATTATTTTTATGTCACTTGATGAGTAAAAAATGAGCTTCTGTATCATCTTGAGTAGGAAAAAGATACATATATATTTGAATAGCCAATAATCTGCAGGTTTATGAACAAGCTACCTTTTGAATTACACAAAATTTGTCATGAGACCAATGAAAAGAGGGGCAATTTTTCAAAGTCAGCCACAGGCTATAACAGGATATCACAAGGGCAAGGTTCAGGCTTTCCCCATATTTTTTAGGGGGCAGTAGCTGAAAAGAGACTTAAGAACAAATTTCTGATCTCACCTCTAATCCTGGGTTGTTATAGCCTTGGACTATTGCGCATTTCCTCCCAGTGGTTCACTAGCACCTGACAAGGAGGCATGTTATCTGATTATATCTGCTACAGAGAGACAAAACTGGGTGGGTTCTGCTGACACAGAACTTTTAGGAACTATGTTGTTGAACAAGTATGATGGGACAAGTCAGTGTTTCCACTTCATTAGCTGCTGCTAGGGGGAGGGGAGGGTACTAATGCAGTGGTGTCACATCACATTTTTTTGCAGTTTCACATTACTGGGAAGATATAGGAGGGTGGGTATACCTGAGTTTCTTCCCATAACATGTAATTTGGGTCTGAGATTCTGGCATTTTATTATCTTTCTCTCACACCTTAAAAGATAGGCCAAAATTGGATGCACTGCTAATAAGAGGCAAATGAAAATATTTCCCATCCTGGAGCTACCGATTGCTATATTAGAAGATCTAAAAGGAATCTCCTGCTTGTTGGGAGTGGAGAGGGATAATTTCTTCTTGTGCATATGACCCAAAGCTCACTTGGATTTGGTTCTCCTACAGGACCTCTTGAAGAGTGTACCTTGGTCACTCCATTTACCTTTGCTTGCAGCACAATATAATCTGGGTCATTTGAGCTAACCTGTAAGGGACTTTCTAGATGCAGCTTTCCTAGACTATGCAGCTGTTGCTAATACCCATGCCTAGCCCCAGCAATCTGAATGCCTGCCATTGTGTGTGTATGGGGGTTTTATTCTTGTAAAATTATTTTAAAGGCTGTTTGCTCTATTGATACAACTGCTCAGTTGCACATCATCACCATGCAATTTTTTAACCTGATGAGAAGGGTAGCCCTTTTGTTATGCAGAGCTGGGGATCTATGGCAATGACAGAAAAGTGGTAGGACAGTACTGATACCAGGAGATGCCCTCAGAGGCAGCAGGGGGGGGGGATGGATAAATACGGTTCAGTGCAGTGAGGCCAGAGTGGTTGATTTCAAAGTCATCCAGTCCAGCTGTGGTGAATTCTGTACCAAAAACATCCAGACTGAGATTCTGAAAGGGGGATATCCAGATGCATTTAAGAAAATCCACAGGTAAATTTTTGGCCTTCCTTTAGTATAAGTTTGGGACTTTTTCTTACTTTTTAAAAAATAATGATGGGGTGACAATGGAAAATGTGATGGAAAAGTCTATAGAGGGGGAGATATGGTAGGTCACAGCTGGGAAAGATGGGAAGCGTTGATCTTAGGTAGGTCAGGCACAGTAGCGAATGTTACAGCCTACCCTCAGCTAGTCCACATTACTCCAAATACTGGAGTAGGCTTTAAATGTTTCATTCCATCCAAGCATAACTAGAATCTATTTCTCACTAAGGAGATCAACCTCTTTCTGAACGGTACCACTTCATACTGCAGGTATTCATACTCACATAACAGAAAGCTCCCCCGTTCCAAAAATTCCCCGTATGCAGAAAACTAGTAGGCCAGGGCAGAAGGCTCAGCTACATTCTTTCTCTCTGATATTCAGTTTTCTAAACACCTGGCATTTTTGTGTATGAAAGTCCTTTTGATTATGTGAACCCTTATCTGCCATTTCAGACCATTTCAACTCTTCACTCTTACATCCCTGTCCTTGTCTTGTTTCTACTTGTGCTTTTGAGAGTTGCTAGTTGTCATTTTCCAGTGATAAATTTGCTCCCTGCAGGGTCTCTGGAATGTAAAGCTTGGGAGTGGCCATAGAGACAATACTTGTGCATGAACACTAAGGCACCACGCCATGCACAGACTGCCATTTCATATGCTGCAGGAACTAGGGTATATTTTGATTGATGATGACCTGTTAAATGTTTCTAGGGTATCTTCCATCAAAACAGTCTCGAGTTTGAAAGCAGGGAAGGTAGCATGAATTAACACAGCAATGATGGGAATGCACATCTAGAAGCCATGCATTGACCCTTGGTATAAGAACTGAAGTATTACCAGTATGTTCCTATTTTTTTCTGTGAATTGCTGGGATAGCATGAAGTCTGAATTGGTACACAGCTTAGTTTTATCCCCAACCCCAGAAGGAAGACTTAGTCAAGTCACAGAATTTGGAATACTCTGATTATTGACAAAGGTTTGATTTTTTTTTAAATGGTCAAATTTTGCTTCCTATTTCTGCCCTGGATTGCCACCCAATTTCTAACTGACAACTTTATTTTCATCTTTAAATAAAACACAGGCCTACTCCCCCACCCCCACCAGGTTTTCCCTTAGTAACTTTCTCTATCTTCCTTAATCCCTCCCTCCCCCTTTTCCTTTGTGCCCCTTTTCCTTAGACTGTGATCCTGTAGGCAGGGCCAGCCTTTCTTTTGCTCTGCGTAGTGCTTAGCAAGAGGCAAGCACACCACAAGCAAAGTCACCGTGCTGATGATATTCTGCAACCACCAAATTCAGTGAAAATAACAACACTGTTGCAAAACAGATCTTATTTCCAGTCCCAGAATTCTGCAATGCTGCAGCTGCAGTCTATGACTTGCTTACTTCAGGGAAGTCCTACTGGTTTTGGATTGTGACTTTATCCTACTGGTTTTGGATTGTGACTTTAATCTCTCTCCTTTTACATGTCTCCAGTTTCTCCCATCTGTGAATGCTAGAAGGTAATATTTCCTTACTTTACCAGAGAGTGAAGACTTTGATTCTAATCTGGTTGTTTCTGTAAAAAGCCATCTGAAATGGTTGCATTTCCAAGCAAAGAAATCATTAATTTCCTCGTTGTTCCACTGATCTGATTACTTCAGAGAGATTATTAGTTTGAATATCTGCATTCTGTTGTGTTAGGTTTTGGCATCCAAAAAAGGGGAGCTCAGAAGCTAATGCTAAAGAATTAGCTCTGTAAAGCAATTTTGTTTACTGTCTTAAATCTGCAAATATATATATAAATTTGCCTTCAGCCATGTTGAAGCAGGAAGTAAATTAAAAGGAGCTTCACATTTGTGCTGAACTAGTTATGTTTTTAATCAACATTTCTGGCATTAATCTGGGAAAGCTGCAGCGCTACAGTCATACCGCCAAAAATTATGAAGAGAGACTGGAAACCCAAACTCAGTCAACTCATTTCACCAATTAATGTAAACAAATGTTGCTACCCCAATACAGAGAATGCAGTTTTGTTTTATACTCTGATGTCAACAGTTCCAAAATAGGGATTGCTGGTCTAGGCGATGACCTGCTTTTTGAATATGACTCAGGGTTCAAATCCATATTCTGCTTCTATGGAGGATGCTGTACCTTCTTCCTAAAAAGGAGTTGAAACTCCTTCTCTGGAGGCTTCTGAGAAAAGGTGGATTAACCATCCATCACAGTTGGGTTATGAAACTAGTAATTGTTATCGGATTTACGGACTACATTACGTTGGGCATCATAGAGCATGGGGCACTTGGTGAAATACAAAAAGTTTGTTCTTGTGTCACTCTCACATCCCAGAAAAAAAGGAGAACAGTAATGTATGAGGGATAATTTACAACAGCCAATCATGCCTACTCAATGAACCCAGATATCCGTTTCCATTCAGCATTTGATCTGTGAAGGATCCCAGTTCCATTTGCAAACTTTCCCACTGTCTTTTTATCCAAAAGAGATCCAAAGGGGATAAAATGATATATCTTATTGGACCAGCTGGGATTAGTATTGGAATACACAGAGATCTTCATCAGGCAAAAACAGTTCTGTGGATCTCATGTTCCACTTCTGTACCCAAACAATGGTTATCCAATAAGATATATTATTCAGTCTATAATAGTTTTTATTGAACTTCTGCCTAAAATAACAGAAGAAAAGGTGCTGGAGAAGATGAACACATACACAAGGGTGTTCCTGTCTTCCTCCATACAGTCCTAGAGATAAGGTTTGTGAACTGGAGCTTGATGCACTGAGCCAGCATATTCAGCTCTTGCAAGCGACTTGCTCCCTCCCACACACAGCCCCATGCTCATTCCCCTCTGAAACCTAAACAAAAGCTTGGGGGGGATTGTGGGTCACTGTGGACCATGTCTCCACCCTACAAAAGGATACCAAATGGGAAGCTTAAGTAAGTCCTATGAAAACATGCTTTAAGCCAACATTCCCAGCCAGGACCTAGGCATCAGGAGGAAGGGGAAGGAATGGGTACAATCTTGGGGAGGGGTGGCTCAGGCTTTAAGCCTATTCTTGCGGTATGCTTTATCTCATTTCAGAAATTTATTTTTATTTATTTAGACATATACCCCACCCTCCCAGCCAATTACTCATGAAACTTATGCAAGGTACAATTGGGATGAAGAAGCAATGATACTTCTTGGGTCCTGTTCCCTAGCAGGAAACCCCACATCACTGGACATCCCTTATGGTTGCAAGGAGTACACTGGTAATTTAAAAAGCCTGCGGTCGCCTGGGGAATCAGTGCTTAGCAGAGGCTTTGCCTGGGGCTTATGAAAAACAGTTTCTAAGAACTGGGTTTATGACACCAGATATGTTGAGGAAATCAGTAGCATTTCAGGCCTAAGCAGATCAGACGCAGAACCATACATACAGAGAAACAGCATCTACTTTAAAATGCATTGACTTTTGAGCCAATCACGTTGAGGACGGGTGAGAAGGATGAGCGTTTTCTGCAGGCAATCTTATTCCAAGAGGATCCCCCAACCAAACTCAGTTTAAGAAACACAGGTAGGCATGCAAGTACTCACTGGTAGCTATGATAATGGCCACTATATTGCTGTCCATGGGAACACTGGCTGTGGGCGCATGGGATGGTGCCTCACTGGGTTCCAACATCTTTGGGGGCATCTGTCTTCAAGTCTCCGCTAGTTTGGCAGCTCCATATGTAAGAACCCCTGCCAGGTCGACCTGATCCAGTCTCCCAAAAGCCCTGCCTTCTGCCCTGGCCAGCCAGCTCCAGTTAGCACTTGCCCCCCACCACAGAGCCCATTCAGTCAAGGCTGGTTTCTGCCTTCTCCCCCTTTTCTTGGTCAGATCCTGGCAGAAGTCCTACGAATAGCTGATTCTTTCTTTCTTTTTTGCTTGCTTCTGTGCTCTATTGACATTGGATTTGGAAAGCTCTCCTCCCCGGTTTAACCTGTTGTTGCCTGATGAATTCCACTCGCCTTTCCTTTCCTTAGCAGAACACTGTCCCTTGCAAGTCGGCTCCAAGAGCTGGTCCTGAAATCTCTTTTGGGCACGTCTGGAATAAACAGCGGCTACTTCCCCCTCCTCTTTTTTTCCTCTTACAAATGGCAAGCTGTCCCAAAGGTGACCGTGCTTGGAAAAGCTGTTCCACGAAATAGTCTTGATTCCGATCTTCCTTTCCTCCGCAGGTTCTGTTCCGGTTGTACCTGGTTTCCACTCTTCATAGGACTCGTTCTGTATAAATGTTAAGACATACCTGGTTTCGGATCACATCTAGTCGCCTTTGCGTTGATGAAACCTCTTACAGTGCTTTAAAGACCTCCCGGCCTGGCTAGTTCCATCCGGCATCTCGTGCCCAGCCAGGCTAGTTATGCCCTGCCAAAGACACCATATTCCAGCTCCGTCAAAAGTAGATCGGTGCGCGCGGATTACCCGGGACTGGGATTTCCCAGACAAGATCAACGCGGGAGTGGCTGGGGTGGGGGGGGGGGGGGGGGGGGGAGAATCCCTTCGAGCTTCAAGGCTATCACCAGCTTCTCGGGGAGATCTTTGCACCCTCTATCTCCTTCCTGCTCCAATAGCCCAAGTTTCGCTCCTGATTGGTCGTTGACTCAACGCTCTCGGCCCCGATTGGTTGAAAGTGGGACTCGCTACATTCTCCGGATAGAACATTGTGTCGGCGGTCGTCATAGAAACACTGTGCACGTGGGGAGGGGGAGCACGGGAACACTCTTCCCCGCCTCCTCTAGCGTTCCTTTATCAATGGATTTTATTGTGTTTCCTAATACCTGCTGCCCTGATTACCACCCCCCCCCCGCCCCTTTATTGGTTCCTAGCAGCTCGAAAAACAAAACCGTGCAGGCATGGGAATTTTCTCTGAAACAATCACAAGGTGAAAAGTACCCAGAAAGAGGAGTGATTTCAGCTAAGGTGAGGAACAAGACAACTTTAGCCAGCTCGCAGCCCAGTTTATATTCCACCCCGACCCCCCCCCCAACACAATAGGTTATTTACAGTGGCCGAGAGTCCCACAGGCTCTGGGCCAGGAGCCTAGCCCTCTGATTGGTGTGTTCTTCTGAGCAAAGCTCGAGGATTGCTTCCGACCGCATGGAGCCCTAGCCTGCCATGCGGTCTGAACTGGATACATTACACAAGGACTAGCTAACCATGACTTTAAAAAATTCAGAGGGTGTGAAGACGGCTTAAGTTACTACTTACCACGCTTTAACGAGCCTCGTGTATTCACGGAAATGGAGCGCAGTCAGCTCTAGAAAAACTCGGGTGCCAATCCCATCACCACTCCTCCAGACAGACTCCAAAACTGATCACTGGAAGAGGCGTTGGATACATCACATTCCTTGAGAGTGTCTTGGTTGACCACGCTGCAACAAACACAGTGCAGCATCTTGTGGCTGCTGCTGTTCTTGGAGAAGTCACTATCTCCCAGCAGGAGGTAGATCGTGAAACCAAAATGAGATAACGCTCCGATGCCTGATGCATATGTGGGTTGGGTTTTTTTTAAGCGACTGTAGTAAAAGGCAGTTTTATTTTTCTAATTCTTGCAGGCCTTGTTTATGACAGCTGTCGTTTGCCATGGGATCTTATGTTTGTTTTCCTGTAACCATTCTATATCTGGGCTTTTGGGGGGCAGTTGGTGGGTGTGTGAGTGCGAACCTGCTCCACTTAGCATGGTGTAACTGTTTTCTTAAGGAGCCTCCAGTATGGGAAGAATGCGAATATCCTTGAACATCTCTGCTAGCTGGCCATTATAGATAAACTGTTAGGTTTACAGGGGGGAGGGGGGAGCGTGCACTAGGTTAGGTGGGATGCATGAATGGATTGATTGGATGGGTTATGGGGTGTGTGTGTTTGAATCATGTATAATATCAGAGCTGGTACCAACCTAAGTCAGTTCTGACACAGAAAGTCTCTACTTGACACAGTTACATATTTCAATAAACAAATCTTTAACAGAAGAGTGTTGTTGGGAGTGAGTTTTTGCAAGAGTCTGACAGCAAGGTGGGAGGGAGGGACAGGGTAAAAGCCAGAATAGCCCAGAACGGGCATTAAACAAAAAATAGTACCACAAAAAACACTGGAATGCATTACAGACACTCCAGAACAATATTCTAGAAGGGAAAATGTGGAACTCTCGCATATTTATTAACCTTTTCCAGGCCAAAATGCCTCCAGAACACCCCGGAATGGGCCAGAACAGGCATTAAACAAACAATAGTACCACAAAAAGCACTAGGATGCATTATAGACACTCCAGAACAATATTCTAGAAGTGAAAATATGAAACTATTACACCGTTATTAACCCTTTCCAGGACAAAATGCCTCCAGAATACCCTAGAACAGGCAGGAATGGGCATTAAATGACCTATAGTGCCACAAAAAACCCTGGGATGCATTACAGACTCTCCAGAACAATTTTTTTAGAAGTGAAAACATGGAATTCTTGCACCATTATTAACCCATTCCAGGACAAAATGACTGGAATAGGCTGGAACGGGCATCAAACAAGCAATATTACCACAAAAAACGGGGTGCATTAGAGGCACTTGAGAACAATATTTTGGAAAGCCAAATGCAGAAATATCTTGCACTTATGAACCCATTCTGGGCCAAAGTGCCTCCAGAACAGGCCGTAAAGGGCATTAAATAAACAATCGTACTGCAAGACACAGTGGGATGCGTTAAAGGGACTTGAGAACAATAATTTGGAAATCAAAATACAGAAATACTGTCCACTTATTTACCCATTCCAGGCAAAAATACCTCTGGAAAACCCCAGAACAAGCTGGAACAGGCATTAAACAAAGAATAATGCTGCAAGAAACAGTGGGATGTGTTAGAGGCACTCCAGGACAATATTTTGGAAATCCAAACGTAGAAATACCTTGCACTTATTAACCTGTTCTGGACTAAAATGCCTCTGGAACACCCTAGAATGGGCCAGAACAGGCATTAAACAGAAAAATATTGTGCAGGGTTTTGTGCAGGTCTCCCCCCTTGCACATCAGTCAATTTGTTAGAGTTCCAGGAGCTTCCGATTTTGGTGATCGCCATGGCAGTAGCCTTCTCCCAGACCTCCGGGAGAAGCTTGCCAGCGCCCACAGCTGGGAGGGGGCGCGATAGTCCGTGCCACCCCAGGAGCCCAGGAGAAGGGCTCCCAGCCATGGGGTGCTAGAGAGCTCCCCCCCGGTGAGAAAAGCCGGCGAGGGGGGCTACTCCAAGCTCCGATGGTCCCACCATGGAGCATCCCATATGGGAACAAGATCAGCACACTGGAGCAAGCGTTTGGTGATCAAGCGATACTAGACACAAGCGAGCAATCGTTGAAAATGTGAGTTTAAGTACAAGTGAGACAACGAAAAAGCGCATGGCTCTCCTGAAAGAAAACGAGGTGGGGAAGGGACTCTCCTCCATTAAGAACTGTTTACAGGCGATTTTAGCTACAAAAGAGGGGGGGCTGCTACAAAAAGTGATCGGAATAAAATAAAGAGACTGTAAGAGCTTGCCGCATTATAAAAGAACTTCCAGAGACTTTGACAAACTTTTGATAAAAGTAAACAATTCTCAAACATGGCGCCACCAATGGTGAAGGACTCTAGAGATAAACAAGCGAAAGCAAAGCTTCTTCCTGGAAATTCCAGCCCTGCGAGTTCTACTCCTAGACAGGACTCAACAGCGGAACTTCAAAGGCTCTTGTCGGAAGCACTTCGCCCTCTGCTGGAGAAAATTACGGCAATTGACAACAAGCTGGACACACAACAAGCGCAAATGACTGCAAACACACAGAAAATTGGAAAAACGGATCAGGAGCTTAAAGTGATTGGTACCAACTCAGAAAAGATGGACAAAAAACTGCAGGCACTGGGGAAAAAAGTGTCAAATCGAAAAGTCTTGAGTATTACAGCTTCAAATGTAAAGAGCAAGCTATGTCTTGAGACTTCAAGGTATCCAGGAAGAGAAAGGAGAGAATCTGAGACAGATTGTCGGTGACGCTCTTGCGCCCATGGCAGAGATGACATCGGATCAACTTCAAAGCGAAATAGATACGGTAAACAAATCGTATTCAGAATTTATTAGAAAGAATAATCTGCCAGGGGAAGTTACAATAAGATTCTCTCAAAGAAAAGTGACAGACCTACTACTGAAAGCATCTAATGGAGCTACCTTGAAGATAAAAGACAAAGATATAAGAATAGTGAAAGATGTTCCATTTGAGATAAGAAGGAAAATAAGGAAATATAGAGACTTGACTCTATTTTTACAAAAGCATGATGTTGCCTACAGATGGTTAACACCCAAGGGACTAATCTTCAGATATGCAAATGGTAAAGAAAGGATTGACTCTGTTGAAAAGGCTTGTGAATTTTTGTGTCAACATAGCAGTCCAACAGGAGAAGGTGTGACCGATGACGCCAAAGAGAGCGAGGAAGAAGGAGAGGCTGGATCCTCGGAGAAAGACTCTGACTCTAAATTGGGGGGGCGGGTCCTAAACAAGGCTATCAGTTGAGGCACAGAAAGGGGAAAAAATAGATTGCCAATGTGCTCTGGAATACCTAAAAAGAAGTTTATTGTATATCGTTCTACAATCTTTTTATGAAATTAGAAGTGTTAATGAAGCACTTATGTTTAATTACATAGATGATCATTTTCAACAAAAGTTAACTTGTGTTTAAGTTCAAATGCCCGTTCCAGGGTGTTCCAGAGGCATTTTGACCTGGCAAGGGTTAATAAAAGTGTGAGAGTTCCATGTTTTCACATCTAGAATATTGTTCTGGAGTGTCTCTAATGCATCCCAGTGCTTTTTATGGTACTTTTTTTTTTGTTTAATACCCGTTCCAGCCCATTCCAGGGTGTTCTGAA